TGATCATTGCCACCATCATGCCGATTCAACCATTGCTAACAGAACCAACTTCTTCTAATTTATCCTTAGCTTGCCTTAGAAATAATAATAGCTCCATTCCTTACATCATGAACCTAACTCCGCACTCATCCCGAGTGACCCTATTCCACGAGACCACATTGTCTCTAAACCCATGAACCGTTTCATACCCTCCTTGCACGCACATTCGCATCTTCAACTAATACACCCATTTTGATAATTCCTCTACGAATCCGAAGCCTTTTTCTCTTTTTCCTCCCAATGCTACACTGCAAGTCGAAAACATCATAGAACATTCCGAGCCTCTTATCATAATCTGCTACAAAAGCTCGATTCTTAGCCATACTGCGGGCTTGAATCCTTAGCTACCGCATTTTTAACCTTTGAATTCACTAGGACCGTTGTTGAGAGTCACCCACTATGACTTGGTCCCGATTATAATCAACTCCAAGGCTCCCCTGGCACATGAACACTCATCTCAATGAAGCACCCAATTGAATCACTTCCCTTATAGATCACCTCTATACGGAGCATAAATCCCGAATCTTCCCAAAGCCTGAACATGAGTCAATAAGGCCAACTATGGCACACCTTTATCAATTCCTTTGCTCAAATTACCACTTATGTTCTTTTCCCTTAGCTGTAATAACTCACCAATACGCCGATAACCCGAACCTCACAAGTAGATAACCATGCAACCTAATCGTAGGTGGTGGGACCCTCCCACTTAGCTTGCAGCTACTATCACACAACTCCGGAACCCACCAAGATTCTTTCTTCATTGTTGACACGATCTTACACAACCAACCCGCCAAATTCCTCGCTTTTAGCATTTTATGAACACTCTGAATCTCTAGCAACATTCACATATTCGACTTCTTACTAGATAGGCGGTAAAATCCTTCACAAAAGCTTCGCCAACCACGCGACCGCTGACCTGCTCACAGGAGATAACCCACATGTGGAAATTACACGCCGACATCTTCCAACGTCGTTGCACAGGGTACAATCACTACGGCATCAATAACCCATCCTAAGCCTGTGCTCATTCACCAACTGTACTAGTCCGTTCACTTCTTATAGACCTCAACTAAATGTGCGACAATATCTTCCAATTCAAAGTTACATTGCATCCTTCTTCGTATCAAGCAACTCCCTTTCTGTTGCATCCAATCTCCCGCCGTATAATAGCCAATATTTCAAATTAAGCCCGTGGACCCAATCACCGTCCATTAAAATTCCGAAATCACTCTAAACTTTTCCTCAAGGTGTGTAGTTACCCTGTCACTGAAGCCATATGCTACTCTGCTACTCTATCACTTTGGTCAAACTCACTCCTTTAAGCAACTACTCAACTTTCACTTCTTACACCTGGCCTTCTAGAAATTTAACCACCGTCTGACACTTCCCGCATGTCCTTCCTCATCCTTTGCTGCCCAGTTGTTGCCTTGAATCAATATCTATTTCTGTAGCACTTGAACCGATAGATCGCTACTAACTTCAACCTTTTCCGAAGATCCTTCTCGAGCCGTCAGCATTAAAAATACCCATTCAATCCTAAACCACCGCACCCCGCTGTCACACCTCTTTTTTCCCACAACCCTATTACGAGGTTGAGTTAGAAGAGTTTTTCCAATTAAAGTGACGTTTTGAAAAGGGATTATTTATTATTTAGAGTCGCCACTTGGAATTGAGTTTTGGTGTTCCAAGTCACCTTTTATTGAATCCCTTATCAAAAGGAAGATTTGACTCCTAATTTATGGTCTAAGAAACAGAAGACTGAGTAAGGAATTCTGTTGACCGAGGGGAAGGTGTAAGGCACCTCTCGAGACCCGTGGTTCTAACACGATCGCTTTATTGACTAGTGTAAGGCTTAAATCAATTTCTTAGCTATTCTTGTATTTTATTGATTATGGCTTATTGATTACCGTTTAATTAATTATTATATTTTGTTAGTTGTTTTGACCTAGATACGGTATGCACACAAGGTACTTCTTTGAAATTGAATGTTAAACCAAGGTACGGAATGTACACATGGCCAAAACATAATTATTTTAAATTTGAAGGTATCAAGACGCAGGAAAACACACATGATCCTTTTATTATTCAAGCATATTAATCAAGGTTCGGGTATGAACACATGGACTAATATTTAAAGTGTGTCTAAAGCTTTTCTAGTCTATTTATAGTATTTCATTCCTAAGCTTGAGATTATTTTGAAGGTCACGGTTTATGGATATTATTATGGATAGAAATGGTATGATTCGGTTATTGGAATTATTAGCCAGTTCATTTATCTTACTATTCTAGAAGGATTCGGATGATCTATTAACTTATAAGAAATGGACTAGCTTATTCATCTTGGGCCCGATGATTCCGATTTTGGCTCAATAAATTTGAATTAACTATCAAAAGTTCACTGCCTACTACACGTGTTTCTACGCCAACTAAACCAAACAACAACTTGTTCAATTTTAACAGACCTTTCTTAATATGTAGCCTTAGGAAAAATGGTATGGGCACTTGACTTCTCCAATTGCTAATTAACCCAGAAACTAACTTAATGATTATATCCAAAACAAATAGTATGGTGACAAACTCCATAAATTTCAGAATACAAAAGTATGGGTACATAAGTATAGTAGTACAAAAAATGGAAGGATAAACCTGAAGCCAATTCACTTAACTTTTACATATGTTTATCAAACAGCAGTTCATGCTCTCCACGTCCTTTTATATACATGCCACATAGTGCTTTATTGGTTCAAGTAAGAAATGTATAAAAGGCTAGATGTCTTAAAAACATTTTTCTAACAAACTCACGTCATATTCTAACTTAACAAATGAACAAATAGAATTCACATAACAATTTTGATTAGTAGGTATGATGTGAAAATTTCAGCATTGAGTGCTGTAATATATGTGCGATAAAGCTTTAGAAGCTTGTTGCATCCGGAAGAGGTGGCCGCACCTACTACTTGGAGAAAGACGTTGCATTAGAGTATAGTCACTTTTTACACATGCACACCTGACTGCATGCTAGATATGTCTTTGAAACTGTGAACTAGAAAAACTCGCGTTCTGGTTATAAAGTGCAGCTACATTTAGTTGTTTCATTGTTCATTAATTGAAGTGGTAAACATCATTTTTTTTTTCGAGCAAGATAGAAATGTTACGAACTCAAGTGAGCAAAATGGGACTGCTTTTGCCTTTATTTTCCCTTTCTTTTCTGGAATATAGCTGTCATTAACATGTTAAAGTTGAAATAAGAATCTCTAGAGTAAAATTTGTGGATTCATCGTAACAATTACCAAACAAGATACTAGCTAATAGCACGCTTCCTCTAATACTAACAAAGATAAAATAAATTTTCAAGTAAACCCACTTCAGAACATGGAATCAAAATTCGCATAAACGCAGTTTAATAAAGTAATCATTTAAACAAATTCATGAATCAAATAGGACGTCAAAGCACATATATAAAAAAAAAAAAATGAACCTTTATTGCTAGATGTGAATTTTAAAGCTTTGCAATTCAACAAAACGCACCAAACAATCTCGACCACAATCGGAAACCAGCGACGGCGACCTCAAACTCGGAACCGCGAACGAAATCTCGAACTCCGTCTTCAAACTAAACCTAAACTAAGAAGTTTTCCAAATGAATCTTGACTATAAAAGAACAATGCTTTTTTTTCTCCTTAGTTCTGATGTTTTCTCTGTCCGGTCTCCTCTAGCGTGTGAGACTAGATATTAAATAGCAAAGTTTGTTGGATGGTTTCTCCCATCTCCCCATGAATATCGATATCAAGGTTAACGTTGGTGCCTTTTGAATAGCAGAGGAGGGGATCGTGGGATTTGTTCTGAGTTGTTTTAATTTTTGAAAATAAACAAGTGAGTGAGTGCAAATTGTAAAGAGTGGGTAACATGGGATAATTGTGACGGGAGACGTGAGGGGTGGGGGAGGTTAGAGTTGGGATTGTTAGCTTAAAGTGACTCAAATCTCGTTATCTCAAATCAGATATTTGAGATAAAGTTTGATATCACAAACTTTATCTCTTTTAACGTGACTTTATAATTATTTTTTATTTTAAAAGATAAATTAAATTATAAATATAAGAAGATTAACCAATATTTTCTTATAATATAGGAAAACTATATATATTTACATGTACTTTAAATAATACTAAGAAAAGATACTATAAGTTGCTTATTAAAATTCTAATTAAAAGAAACTAAATACATTTTTTTTATTGTAAATTTTCTTTTCTCTTGTAAATAGAAATAAAACTTTTACTCTAAGAATGTGAATATTATTTTTGTAGTTTTTAATTTAATTTTTCTGTTAAAACCTATTAAGAGTAAGATAAAAGTTTAAAATATCAAAATTAGACCTAAAAAAATGTTTACATTAAAATAGTATAGGATTTGGGGTGTGGTCAAAAATTAGGTGTTCACACCCGCGATCTCTGACAGCCGCTTCTCCAATACTATCTCACAATATCCTGCCCCAAAGGCAAATTGTAGAAAATCATAACACCGACGAACTTAACACATTCAATCGAGGACGACGACACCACATCGCAGATAAAAATTCCACCACCGATGTATACAAGAGGCCACTAAAGTAGGGCCTAAATTTAGTACAAAATTTTTCTAAAATCCTGGCTCCGCTTACGGGAGGAATTTTAGTTGTTTGAACATTTTGGAAGAATTAATGCATAATGAGCCCTAGGAGGCATTAATGTAGATTGCTAGTATATCGCAGGTACTTTTCACTTTTGCATTGTATTTGACATCCCAAACCCTTTTAATGTTCAACTACATTCAGTTCATTTCAAGTTATTTTTTCCGTTTTGCAACGGTTAATTAATGTAATTTAAACACATTAGCTGACCATGCCATTATATAATCTCCTTCCTATGCAGATTTTCCATAGTACCTTAATTAATTAAAACCTATATTCTAATACTTTAGCAAAGATGGCATACAAGTTAATGCTTCTCGTTGTTTTGGGTGTTCTTATTCAAACTTCCTCTGCAAGGAAACTTCTTGGGGATTCATTTTTACCCAATTTTGACTTAAACGAAGGGTTTGACCAAATTCTAGGAGGTCTTGGTGGCGGCGGCGGTGGTGGCGGAGGTAGAGGAGGTGGAGGAGGGGGTAGTGATGGTGGATTTGGCATCGGCTTTGGATATGGCGAGGGTCACGGATCAGGAGCGAACGGCAATGATGGCGGTGGTGGAGGTGGCGGAGGTGGTGGTGGAGGTAGTAATGGTGGGTCTGGTGTCGGCTTTGGATATGGCGAGGGTCATGGGTCAGGTGCAAATGGTGGTGGCGGTGGTGGTGGAGGTGGTGGAGGCGACAGCGGCAGTGGTAAAGATGGTGGTAGTGGTTTTGGTTTTGGTGTAAGTCACTTCCCTAGTGCCTTTTATCAATTGAGAAAAATCCTACAAAAATATTGTACTTAGATTATTTTCAGCAATTAGTAGCATTAAAAGTAGAATAGAAACAAATCCAAACATGGTTATAAGTGCAATTAAGAGCAACACGTATAACTAGATTGGATAGAAACCCAACCCCAACTAATATTAGCTCCTTGTGGATATCGATCCGGCCTTTCGGGTAAAAGCTGCATCGACTACTCTTTGCCATTTTATAGTAGTATAGGGTTGGAGCCGATCACTTTTTGGTGCCGTTGTCGGGGATCGAACCCGGGTCACCCGCGTGACAGGCAAGAATACTCACCACTATACTACAACGACAAATTCCGTGTCACATTGGGGTTGTGGGGTAGAGGGGGTGACACCCAGGCAGGGGGGTTGAGAACAAGGAACCCTGTGGTATGGCAAGAACGGTTCGTTAGTGAGAAAGCCTATCACAAATTCCGGGAATGGTGGCCGTAGAGGTCTCTCACACTCGAGAGGCAATTCATAGAAAGGGACCTTCTACCTCACAACCCCAATGTGAAGAGGCAATTTAATGACAGAGTGGGGTGGAAATTCTATACAAGCAAGCTACCGGAGGCCAATGAATATTTAGTCAAAGAGTTCTATGCCAACGTAGCCCACATCAAAAAGGGCACCTATGTGACCAAGGTGCGGAACCTGAAGATTAGATTTGATGGCAAGATGCTGAATGACTATGCTGGGTTCAATGATGAGGATGAGTCCCTTTATCTGGAGAAGGTGGCTATGGATGAGTTAGCCCGCCCTTGGCTTGCATCGGTGATTGCTATTCCCGGGACTACTCCAGCTTGGCTGACACATGTTGATACCCAATTTTTTCCTACATATTTTTATACTCAAAATATTCTCAAAATAGCATATACATAAATATATAAGCATGACCAAAAGTTTTGGTGTTTTTCCTTTATTTTTAAAGATTTTTAAATCAATTTATTGTCTATTTTTATACTACAAAATTAAATAATTATTCCCAAACTAGCATTTTTGGTGAATAATTTATTTCATTCCCATATTTACACTAAGATATAATTAAGTTAATTTTTGCGTATTTTTTATACATTTGTTTGATATTTTTAAGCTAAATTACATATAATTGCAATTATAACCTATTTTACAATTAACAACATTTCATAATCATAAAATCACTTTTAGTATTTTTACATTAATATTTATATGTTATTAATTAGTTCATTACCTTTAATTTATTTTTAAATCATTTTTTACTATTTTTATAAAATAATAAAAAGGGAAATTGGCTATTTAACAAACAGCCCTTAGTATTTCAATTATAGCCAAATTGACCACACCCCTATCAGATTTTTAAATGACCCAATACCCTATTTAAACCAACCCAGCCCAATCCCCAAAATAACCCGGTCCAATCTTTTTTTAATCTGAGCCGTTGATCAAATGAGATCAACGGCTCAGATTTAATTCCCATAATTAAAATCAATTACCCCTCCCCCAAACCCCTCATTTCTTTGAGACCGTCTCTCTCTCTATATCGTCTCTCTCTCTCCCTTCTCTCTAAAACCTTCTGGTTCTCTCTTCTCCGATGAACTCCACCGCCTCTCCGGCCACCTCCAATCTCACCCCATTCGACCATTAACCGCCATGAGACCCTAGATCGTTGGTTCTCTCTATTGAGATCCCAAAACCCCCACCATGTGAATCAGTCCCTAAAAAGTTCCGCCTGGTTTGTTTCCGGCCATCTCTGGCCACCTCCCTTTTCCCCAAGGATCTGGTGGGCCTTTCACCGTCCTGTTCAACACCTCTAGGACCTTCGAGGTTTATGGACTATGATGGTTGAGACCTAGGGTTCCTGGTTGTGCTACTTGTGGGTTGTCCGGTGTGATTTCAAGCGAAATCACACCCTATACGTCACGATCTATAAAGTTTCGACAGGTTCTCTCAATTTTTATTAGGGTTTTCCCTTTTGAAACCCTAACTATTTCCTGAATCTCTCAAAACAGTGCTATTCTCTTGATATTTTCATGTTTTCCTCTATGTTCTGCTTATTTTCGAGTTTATTCTGAAATATCTTTTACTTTGAACCACCTTTTACTTTCTTTGAAAATTAGGATTCTTAGATTTCTTTTACACATGCTTTAACTGATTTTCTTTATGATTAAATCTTTTCTTTGTTTATTCTGACCTGTTTCTATGCTCTCACTGTTTTTAATTTGACTCTGCTAAAAAAACCCTAATTTTTAAAATGTTTACTTGTTTGATTATGGGTGTTGGCATGTCTCTTTGCCTTGGTTATGTGTGTTAGACTAATTTTCTTGGCCTTGTCTCTATGTGTTAGCATGTTCCTTCGTCTGATTATGCGTGTTAGCACGATTCTCTTTACTCTGATTCTATGTGTTTAGCATGCTCCTTCGTTTGATTGTGTGTGTTAGCCTGATGTCCCTTGACTCTTGTTAATGTTTCATGGTCACCAAGCTTCGAATATGTCCTGCTGATCTTAACTTGTTTTTGAACTAGGCTCTGAAGTGATTATGTTTGTTCATCTCTTGTTCCCTTCTGTCTATATAGCTAATTTTGGCTCGCTACTTTTTGTTCATTCACCTCTATTTATATGTTAAAAATGCAGAATCATGACTTCACACGATTGATTCTGATTTTCCTTGATTGATTGGTAATTCAAAAACTTTCTTTTAAAACCCTAGCATTCTACCGCCCGTTTGAATTAATTTGTTTTGTTACCCTTATTTGTTATAGTACTCTGTTCTTTAAGCCTTTCCTAATTAGAATTTTCCTGAATTTTGGTCTTAATTTGGCTACTGTATGCAATACTGAATCTTGATCCCCTCCTTATTTATTCGTACACTGATTTTTCCTATTGCCTTATATGGTGCTGTAATATTTTCGTTTGATTTTGATTCCCTTAATTTAATGGGTTACTTCCTTGATTCTTTGATTAATTGATTCCGAGTTCTTCAATTAACATATTTCTGTGATTTTTACCTTATTTTACTCCCTACTTTCAATTATAAATACCCTAAGTCTTTTACACAAACACACAAGAGTCTTTTGACTTACACACCAGTAAATACTTTCAAATTTGCATTCTCTCTTGCTCTCTTGCTCCACTACTATTCTCTGCTCCTGTTTATTATTAGCCGGCTAAAAGCCAAGGCTAATATAGTGTTACTCCTTTATCTTTGCATCCTGCTTTTGCTCTTTACTGGTATGTCCTGATTAACTTTTCAAGTCTCACACCAATGCGTTTATTTTTGTTTCAGTTCATTATTTTTATGATTCTCTTCTACTTATGCTTCTCCCGTTCAGTGTGTAATTGATTCTTTACTCTAATGCTTCACCATGCCTTTTGATTTACATGTTAAGTCTGACTTTGTTTACTCCTAACTTTATTTGTAATGTATATGTCCTGTTGTTACACATTAGCATGCCTAAACTCTACTACCTCCCAGTCCCCTGAATCCCCTGATTCTGTGTAGTCCTGTCCATTAAACCTGCATCCCTTTTAGCATTGTGTGATCTATTTGCTTCCCTTTTCCCATGATCATTGTATACAATCTTATGCTATTGTTTCTGTTGTTTCTTTCTAAAACAAACCCCTTGTTTTCTTAAAACTTTTCTTTTAAACACTTCTTCCTGCACTTCACACTATTCTTAGAAAATAGGATCTGCCCCCTTCGTGTGAGCATTGCTTTGAGTACCTCTGAGTACTCACTGAACTTTGACACACAAGGCTGGTATTCCACACTGCACCTGTCCTGCATTCTTCTAAAAATCTCTAGGTGCTGGTATTGGCCAGGGATCCAATGGGGCCCTAGGGATCTTTGCTGCACCTAGACCATGGCAAAGGCTGTGAACTCGAAGGGGTTGAGGTTGGAAGAACTGGTCCTGATTGAAGGCTCCCTATAGAATAACTTCTTATTTTTTCTTATTTACTGTAATTCAGATGATACTGGTTTGTTTAATTTGTAAATAAACGATTGGGGTTGAATAGTGAATATGGGGGAGGGTTATGCATGCTTAGTATAAATAATGGGTAGAAAACATGCTTGTAGAATTTTATTTACTTATCTTCGCAATAGATAACCTGTATAGGTCATGCATCTCATTCATTAGAAATCCTGCTTTAGGTTCTTTATTTTCAGTCTGTCATTACGCTCATCTTGTAACCACGCTCAGTTAATAACCGGCAATGATTAACAACAAGCCAAATAACTTGTCATTACTGCATTGGCATATTAGAAATCATGTTCTTAGGAACTCTTATGTGCATTAGATATCCTGCCCATAGGACTTCTCACTTGTTCGAGTTGCAGTGGTTAATTCATGTTATTCCAATAACCATGTTAAAATATGGCTAAGTGGTTTGAAACGTTTTTTTGCAAACACCTTACCACGCGTACCTTTATAAATCAGAATAAAGAAAATGTATGCTCATTCCTTTATAAATAATCAGGTAATGTGTAACGACGCCTAGGCAAACCTTAGGCCCGTTAGGAACTGACCAATTGTGTCTTTTCATAAGCCTAAAACCAACCAGCTTCTTTAAGTTTTAACTCTGCAGTTCCCCCTTCTTGTTGTGATCTTCTGAAGTTCACTCAGCTTTTCTTTTCTTAAAACAAAAACTCTGCTGAAAACGATTTTTTTAAAATGACACACCTTTACTTTTACTGAGTTCTGATTTTTTATGTATGCAAATCCCAGGGTTACCTATCTCTGTCCAGAATCGTGCTATTATTGTTACTACTTCATTTCTAAAACCAAGTTTTAACCGCTGAAAAAGTCCCTATCTTTTGAGACCTTAATCATGTTTAAGGCATGCTACTTATGTGTTTTGTTTGAGGAGGTATATATGGGCCTTTACGTGTTTACATGCTTTCCCTTAACATGCAGTATGTGTTTTTGTATGTCGCCTTAGATTTTTGTCCTTTGAAACCAATCAGCCTAATATCCTACCCTTTAGGATTATTAGTCCTAAGTACCTCCGGTACTGATAGGATGGGGCGGGTAATAGCATGCAATAGGTAAAACGAGACCATTCTGCGTTTAATACCTCAACTGGGTGGGAAAGGGTAGATATGGATATGATGACCACGCGATAACACCACGTGTATAAACGGTTACCGGGTGTTGTGTGGGGTGATCCATATTATGTATAAACCTAGGACCCATTCCCTTATTTGTCCACTTTTATTTCAACTATTTTTCTTTCGCAAATTTCAGCTTTTAAAAAATTGTTCAACTGTATGGAATTTCCCTCCTTTACTCGTTTATTCAGAACTAAAAAATGGTTTCTCCTACCAAATTTAGTTTCTTTAAAGTTTCTAATTTCTTGCAACTATTATGTGAAGACCCCTTTGTATTTGTAATGCTTGTTTACCTACTTGTTGTTTGCATTTAAAGTCACAATATAGCGTGGTCGGGAACCACACTAGTGGATCTTGAGGGGTGCCTAACACCTTCCCCTCGAGATAATTTCTAGCCCTTACCCGAACTCTGGTTTTCCAACTCAAAAACCCTTAGTGTCCTAATGCACTTAATCATTATTGTGGCGACTCTTCAAATCCAAAACCAAATCCCAAACTGGATTAGAGTTGTCTTCCCAAATGTCGTAACCCGATTTCGCGAGAAAAAGGGGGCGTCGACAGCAATTTGGCGACTCTGTAGGATTTTTTTAGGCTTTACCATTTCATGTTGCTTGTGACTTTTTCCCAATCCCAAAACGGGATAGAGTCAGTTATGATGTCCACATTAATGACTCTTTAAGATAGCCC